GTGGGTGTATATATATATATATGTACAGACGTCGCATAGGGAAAATGTATCGCACGACTCGGTTGACACGCACATATCAGTCTGAGATGACATCAACCTTCCCCCCCCAAGGAAATGTCCTAGTCAGCGCAGAATGTTATTCCTGCAGGACCGGCGGGTCCTTTCTAAGACGTGTCATATCGATTCGTTGTCGAGAACATCGTTGTGCTTGTGACAGTTCGGGAGTGAGACCCGCGTCTAGTTTCCTGCGAGAAGGGAGGGAGCGCGATTGCGAATCTCTTCTTGGTGTCCGTTCCACTTCGATTGCCGAATGCCTACTTCGATTTGCGAGAGCAACTCCATCTTTTTCGAGGATCCTCCGAAGTCTATTTATGTGGGCCCCCGAAGAACGTACCCGCATCCCTTAGCAGATAATTCAACGGCGAAGTTTCAAAGATGGGAGGGGGGGGGGAGAGAGAGTGGGGCGGAAGTGCGGAGAAGAGGTAGGTACGTCCCGCTCGTAAAAATTAAACTCAAACTTGCCGTTAACATTCATAATACGGAGCCACGGAGCGACTTTGCCGGAACTTCGCCGCCGTATCTCTTTCCACCGTTGCAAAATAGGTCAGGATCCATTTTGCCGCGTTTCAATTATGCGATAGCGCGCGAACTTTCGACTCTGCTCGATAGTAGCCGGAGGACGATAAAATACTCGGCATAATCGAGCGATATTCATCCCTTAACTGACGGCACGGCAAAGTTATCCCCCTTTACCTGCTTGATATTTGAGACAGATTGTTTGCCTCCGTTTGCTCCGTGCGCTCGTTAACTTTCGCCAGTAGGTATACACTCTCGCGAGATGCACTCTCTGACTTTCTTACGTTAAGGTATATCCCCTGAATTCCCTGATTCTCGGGATTCTCCTGAGATCTCGAACACACTTCGCGATCCATTTGTTCCGTTGGTTCCGTTACTGGATGCCCGCTCAGCGCGTCTGCACTGTGCGCTACAATCCGAACTTACCTGCGGGTGATAAACGGCGAAACGGGGCGAGACGCATTGCTATCGCGATAGAATGCTCGGCGGAAATTGAAATTTTGACGGGACATAGGTGCTCATAGGAGAAAAGCCCGGAATACGGCTTCGTGCCCCATCTACGAATATATAAGATCGTACGTCATGGCCTGATCTTGCGCCGCGAACACGTTCCATGTCGATAAGTTATTCTCGATGATCCTCGTCGTCCATCTGGGTCGGAACATTTCCGATCGATTTACGGGAAGACAATATACGTGTAAATTTACGCGCGTCTCACGCAAACGGAAGATTTCTATTTAAAAGATTCACTTTGAATCATCGTGAGGAAATACAGTTTTTTCTCACTCGATCGTTATTTTTTTTTTTTTTCATAGACACGAGCTTATTAAAATCAATGCGTTACGCACTTACTTTCCATGAAAGTGTATGTCGCTTTGAAGCCTCTCGAATGGCGAGATGACGTTAGTCCCTGAAACTCCAAGGAAAGCCGCGGACCGTTGCTCATGATAGGCCGCGGTGGTATATCTCCGCAGAATGAATCTATTTTGTCCTTCTTCCCATCTATATTCACGAATGCCACCAATGAATCGACCCCTTCGCAACTGTAATAAAAAAAATAATATATTTATAATCTCCTTTGGGTGTTATTTTACAAGTATATCTATACATATTATATTTGCAAAATTAATCATTTTATTTGTTTCAAGTGCATATCTACGGTTGAAATATAACCGAAATTTGATACTTTCGAGCGCGATAATTATTGCACGGAGAACCAACAATTTCCATATAATTTTAATAATTACAATAATTGTAGATAAAGTATCTCTCACCTCTTGCACGATCAATTTATTACGTATAATATTCTACATATAATGATATTAAAAAGTGAAGAGAAAAAGTATAAAATACAAAAATTTTATAAAAAAAAAAGAAAAAAAAATATGTGAAAAATATTTAGAAATTTATGTAATCGTAGGATAATCTTTAATAAAATATACTTTGAATGCGATATCTCACGCGACGTTAATCATTTATAAAGTTTATGGACTGCGTCACAACGCAGTCCTGTCAGCGTTGCCGCGATGTGTAGCCTTCGTTACGCGTCATGAAATAATATTCGATAGGAAAAACTTTTCATTTCCTCGACAAAAGATGCTCCGCTACCGAGGGGACTCGTATTTCCATTTCTGATTTCACGTCCCGTTAGAACACAAGGAACAGGAATCAAGATGTATTTGTCCCGGTACGCGCACCGGAGTGTGTACTGCAACACGTTGCACGTTGTCCAATTTTATATTCTGTGCTTACGACGCCGCTAGCGAACTTTGAACGATAACTCGACACCGAGTTGACATTCTCTTCGAGTCTGGACTTTCGTTTCGCAAACTCTTGACACGAGAACTCGCTGTCGTCCCTCGCGAAAATTATCCGTTGCAATCTATTCGTCGGGTTGGAAATATCAAATAATTGCAATCGGTTATAATCAACTTAAAACTATCAATTTCACTTATGCATAACATATTTATTGAGATAGAGAATCTCGTACTAAAAATGAAAATGTACATGTATAATATTTAAAATATTTATAATAAAGTAAAATAGAGATATTATAAGACAGAAAGAAAGAGAGAGAGACAGAGAGAGAGAGAGAAAAGTGCAGTTTTTTTATTGAATATTTTTATATTCAATAAAATGCGTTTGCGATTGCTGGATTAAATATTCAAACAGACACATAAAGTCTACATTGCCTTTATCAGTAAATATGTTGCAAGTGCTATTTCACAGAAAATTTCTCCAAAAATAATTAAAATCATGTTGATGATAAAGTTGCTGTGTATTATACATAATATAAGCTATATTAATTACTGATTTCTCTCGCTCACGTTCTCTCTTTTTCTCTTTTAAATATATTTAGAAATATAATATGAAAAACACAGATACGTTGCATTAAATTTTTATTTGATTTAACAACAAATTCAATAACAAACTAATCAAAGTAAACATGATATGTATAATATTGTCAAATACCAAGAGATTTATTTAAAGAAAATAATTTTGAGAACGGTATGTTTGAATACGCAGTTTACGTCAAGTATATAATTACAAAACTTTCATAAATTGTTGCACGTAAAAGAAACAACATGTCCATCCTTTTTTTTTTTGACAAAATGATACGGCAAGCTTTAAAAAAACAATCTTGTTAAACTCATTTTCGCATGAAAGTAGCTACTCTTGCTGCGTTTAGCGTTGAGCATTCCTATTATACTCCTCCTATTTGAGCTTTGTGCCATGGTTTACTGTATCATAATTACGCAATTGTCCTGCGGGCACAATCCACAATGGATGGCTTTTAACCAACCAATTTACAATTCGCAAGACATAGCGAGAGAGAACCAATATAATGTATAATAAAGAATATTATTTGCCCATGCACACAAGGTCTACGTGCGTGATCATGTGCAGTGATTTCGTACATGAGCAAATTTGTGTAGCATTACTGCATGAATGGGCAACCATACGCTCGGAAAATTTCGACCAATCTACTCGGATGATTGGAAGAAAACTAGATGGAAAAATCACATGACGATGCGACACGGGTTTCTTCAACGGGTGTCTGTTCAGAAGAAATCATCTTATTTGAATGCACTCGTGTTTCCTACATGTATTATGAGTAGATATCATATATATTACAAAACGTCCGTCCTGTGTCTTATGAATAAATACGATAATGCTTACGTTACTTTAAGGTAAAATATTTTCATAAAACAACACATGACAAAAACATTTTTATATCAATATTAATATGATACATCATAATATTGACGCGTTCATACTTGAAAAAATATTATAGATTTTTTTTTAAAGCTTATTAGGTATATATATAATTAATTAAGTGTAATTATATTAATAATGTGTGTAAATTTATTTGTGAAACTTTGCCGTTCTTCACATTACTGTCATAAAGAGAAAAGCAATACGTTGCGACAGTGAAATTATTCATGCGCATGCATTATATCGATAGCTTCCGGAGTTTATTTAATCGTAATATTATTTCGTTAGAGAAGCTCTTGCGATCACCGCAGAATGGACAAGTGCAGATGCTTGTAAGCAATGAGGAAAGTATCACTTAAACGTCAGTTATAGCATCAATAGTACGCGCGAACTCTAATTAAATCTTATTTAAGATCAACTACGTGGAAAATGAATGAGAGGAGATAAGTGATCGCAGCGAGTGCAATTGTCGGCGAATCCGCAGTTGGTTGTATCACAGCGGTTTCCCGGGATTTCCCATGCTGAACTGTGTCTCTTCTCTGGCCAGGTTCTTCCTTCAATCTCTGCGCTCGCGGAATCGATCTTCGCCGTTTGGAACTCAGAGGTATTCTCGAAAGCTTGGTCAGATTTTTGAGGATAAGAATCTTTTGTCGGATTTAAATAAAATTTCTTACATTCAGGAGCGGCGACTTGTCGATTCGCCATGGAGTTGGACAATTTGAGGGGGGGAGGAGGGGGGGAGGGCAAAAAATGTCCAGAACTTATCTAATCTCCATAAAATCTCTTTATAATCGTATAAAATGATGAGCAACGAAATTATAAATATTTTATAAATATTTTATAAATATTTATAATTTAACTTGAAACATGCTTAAATTCATAAAATAAAACTTAATGAAAAAATTTAATAAATTTAATCTCGTAGAGAGAGAGAGAGAGAGAGAGAGAGAGAGAGAGAGAGAGAGAGAGAGAGAGAGAGAGAAAACGTTGGAGAGCAAACGTTGAACTCTGAATTTTATTTTTTTTTAATGAACTCATCCATAAGTGCACCAATAGTTGCTTTTCATTTACGCAAGTGAAACTGAGTCTGAAGTGAGCTGAGTATTTTATACTTAGATTAATGATGTCACTACATGCTTACTTTGGTAAAAAGTTATCACATGTCAACACAGGTTCATAATCTTACTTTGAAGTGAATTTACGAGACTCACTAAAGCACACGGTCTCGATCTTGTGCAGATTACGGATAAAAATATTCAGTTGAATCTCATTCGTCAGAATGCAAAAGGAACGCGCATTTAACTGAGTTATGACGTCACAAGTGAGAATGATCTGAGAATCGGTGTAAATGGAAAGGAACTATCATTTAAAGTTTCAGCAATCTCGGAGTGCACATGCAACATAACTGCTGAATATTATCGAATATACAAATATGAATTCGTATATTCCGAAATAAATAAAAACTAATCGCTAAGGTGTGTACGAAAAATTATAGACTAGCGCTTTTTTCGCGGAGAAAAATACGAACTGCAAAAAAGAACTGCGTGAATATTTCGGTCGCTTGGCTCGCTCAGTGTGCGTGTAATTGAAAGTTTGATTGAAATAAAAGTTTTCCAAAAATATTTAACTATTTTTAGTTTAACACTTGTTATTTTCAAATTGTTCATGAAAAATTTTTCATGTGTGGAATTCCACACATAAAAAATTCTGAAGTGTGGAATACTTCAGATACACACACACACACAAAAGTCGCCACCCATGCTTACACTGGTAAAGTAACAATACAACTTTACGTATAGGAATGGGCAAATTTAGGCGAATGGGTATTGACCTGGAAGGGAAGAAAGCACGATGTGCGTAAACGTGCCAGAAAAATTTGAAAATCTCTAAGGCAATCAATTTTACTACATTTGCTAAATTGGAACCTACGGTTTCTCCACATTTCCGATATCGGACAATTTTCGAAAGCAAAGGGTACAAAGATGTAACACGTTAAAGTATAAAGCAGTACCAGCCTTACTCTTAAGCTTACAAAGCGTTTCTCGTGAAATTTTGAAATTGCACTTGTCGTATTCCGATGTAACAGCGTGAAGACAAAGTGAGCAACGTCTATTACGCGCGTGCAAATACATAATGTTTACGGTAGCATACACCTGTTGTGCCATAAGAATATATTGAAAGGTCTAGGCACAATCTATGTGCTATGTTATAAGAGTTAAGAGTTACGTTTGCTACTATAAAACACAATGATGTACTTGATGTGAACACACAGTTCTGTATAAATCCGGCATATTCACGACGCGACGTACAAATCGATCGCGCGTGTCTCTGACCGTGCAAGTCTCACGAAAACAGATATAATTTTCCGAGTGGAGATATATTCGTACAACGGATATATATATAGTTCAGCAGTGGAACTACATAAAATATGATAAACTTACTCATTTGGATTGCTCTGAGAATGAAACAGATTCAAGTCCTGGAATATCACCTGCACCCGTTCCTTTCCTCTTCCTTGAAAGTCGTATGTACAATGTGTCCTGGATGGATATGGATTCGGGTATCCAGGTGACATAACTATGCCTGTTTTTGTTGTATCGCTGTTGTAAACTATGTCGCAGAGAGACGCTGTAACAAAGAGACGCACGGTGACTTAACGAGCGGCAACAGTTGACGAATAAAAAGGGAATGTAACGAAAGTAATTAATTGAGGCGCAGCCAAAGGAAGAAAAAATGCCAATTAAATTACGCGACAGCTTTCTTCGTTGCCTTCATCTTTTTGTGCTGAAAGATACGTTGTACGAATTAAATTATGAATATTTCGTGTTTTAATTACAAGTGCTTGCGCATCGACGGCTACTATAATATGCAAACGAGCACTGGCTCTGCTGTATCACGAGGATACATTGCATAAAAATCACGCAAAGACTACAAAAGTATGATAATAATAATCATGACACATTTATTTATTAGCGGAAATAAAATATTCCAAATTAAAATATGTACGACGGATTTTTTTTTAAATTCCGCTCGTTGAAAGAATAATATGCAATATGAATACAATGGTAATGAAGAAAAAAAAATCTTTATTCGTATATCAGGCGAACCGTCTATTTTTATTATGAAATAAATTAAAATTGTAATACAAAAGACATTCATGTCTCCTTAGCCTCGTCGCATTTTTTTTTAGAGTTCTCTATGTGTCTACACTATTCGCATAGCATTAAGATTGAATGAGTCTCACAAGGAGGAGAAGGTATGAAATTATTTAATGTGATAAATATCTTAACCCGCTTTGCCGCGTATAACGGTACCACGATTGTAGCGCGTATTCGTTTCGAGTCTCTACGCTTTAATCTTCTCGACAGTTATTAATCTTTCCGTAATTTAACGCCAGAATCGCTGAGGTACGCTTCGCAAGATGAATCTTCCGAAGAAATGCCGTCATTAGGCAAACCCTGGTGTTACGAACGCGTGAGCGTGCGTACTTGTATATTTTCCCGTGAATATATTTTCCGCGCTTCTCCCACGAGTTTCCTCTCGCAATATAAACAGTGCACTGTCTATCCGTGCGTAAACCATTAGCGTTCCGCAATATGATTGTAAAATTCCAGGTTACCACGCTGCACCGTAGTAAAGATGTAAAATTATATTTTACACACCCACATAAAAATTGTCATGTACAGAAATTGTGATAAAAAAATTACACATAATTGAGATGTACGGCTAAATATATTTGTCATCACAATCGTAGTTGCGATTAATTATCGGGCATTATTTTCCTAAATAAATCACACGAGCCAGCGCGTGCAATATTAACTTACTGTTGACTTGGTTTAGAAACTAGCCTGCGGTAATTAATATTGCTATACGATGCGTGTAATCGGGATGCCGAAAAGCTAGCATAGAGATACAATAATGCATCGTTGAATGCAGGACTATCTCGTAATTCATCGTTTAGCCGTACAATATACGTTTCGATATGTGTTTAGGATGTGTTCGTATTTAGGATATGAAGAAATTCGATAAAACTGTCATTTGGCCAGGTCACTATTGCTGCGACCTCGCGCCTCAAAGCCGTCGGCGCGAGGCCGACAATGGCTTTTATCGAGTTTGGAAAAAGTAATGCAATATCTTGGCCGAGTAGCTACCTTAACGACCCTCGTGAACTCACAAGACTTCAAATGTATATATATATATATATATATACGTATATTCTTTATCATATATTAAACCAGGCTAGTTATACTAAAAATAGCAGACTTAATATGTATACATTTTTTCTTTGAATTAACGAGAGAAGATACTTATATTAATTTAGCGCTTTTAACGATTGCGCTTGAGAGGGAAAGGCATTGATACGGGAAAAAGACTCGGATGCACTGAAACTGGAAAAGTGCAAGGTATCAATACGTCGCGTCGTCGTCAGTCATGAATGTTGTATGAGTGTTTGTATCAGCATCGTACTTATCTCGAACTTTGCGTTATAGCAAACTTGGCGTTGCTGCGAGAATATTGGAAATATCATTCGCCGCCGTGTTCAAGCTTTTCCTTTTTCATCCCCGTTCTCTTAGCGCCATTTTTAGCTCGATTTCCATTTTGAGACTTACGTCTAATGTATGTGACGTATATTAAGAAAATACATCTAAATCTCGGCACAATATTTGAAGAAACGCGAATGTTTTTACGAATAACAGCGTGCCAAAATCAATATTAATATATTTCTCGTTGAAAAAAATTGCATCTTCATTAAATTTTCTCTATCGTTTCTTCATCGTTCCGTCAATGCATAATTTTCGCTTTAACAGCGGCATATTATTGGAAATGTTGGACTGGAAATGTGCATTATGCCGTGCCGTAATGGCCACTGCCATTCTAAAGCTTTCTTATTGTTGAGCATTGCGTTGTGGCCCTATATATCTGTGGAGAAACTTAGGAGTGTGCGCACGCCACAAAAATAAAGAAAGACGTGGAAGGTAGAAGCGGACGATTTTGCGGGCATCTAATGTCGTGAAAATAGCATGCAACGGCCTTACAAGCGATGTTGATCGTGTTTAACGATATTCGATTAAAAATACATTAATTCTGTGTATGAAACTCATTCAACGCGTCCGTGTAAATTAATTAATTATGCAATGTACACAATTGTCTTTTCATCGATTAATCCACAGATTTATTGACAGCTTTATTTAAGATTATAATTTATGTATATTTTGTATACATGTGTTATTTACCTACATATACGATACGTGTAATACTTTTTATTTTAAGCGTCACCCGCTGTATGTGAGTATCGACTTTTGAACATTGTTTGTAAGAGAAGCCAAATAGCACTAAGAAAGGCTAGGCACCGGGAAAGAGATGAGCGGTAGAACCGGCAAACGTTTTAATTTGCATTCATGAGCCGTCCTCTGAAAATTCTTAGAGTCACCAAGTATTCCGACTACGTCTCCCGTTATATTTGGGAAACGAATTCACTTACGGCGATCAATTTCTATACTGGCGAGAATATCGTGCTGTCAGACGTGGCTATCCCAGTGAGATTGGCAATCGACAGTTTTTAGAATAGCGATCGTTGGCTATGCGATGTAAACTATCATATATTATGTATGAGGAGAGAAAATGGTATTGTTCTGAAATTCCTGCCCAATTTTCGTCCAATTTTTTCCTGTCCAAGTTACGACGTACGTTACGGCATGTACGTACGGTCTAAAAGTTAGTCACACTCTGATAATCTACAAAATGTCACGATTAACGCTTTAATCCAAACCGGTGCAATTTCACGCTGCAGTTGCTTTTAGTCGCGAAAAAAGAATTCTCAGAACCATTACTCGTACGAGTGACGATTTCGCCACGCTGTTTTACAAACTTCCACGTAAACGTTGCGCGGTGATACGCGGTAGTGTTGCATAGCGTTGTCGGAATAGTTTTAAGCTCGTTTCACTGGCGGATGCGAGATATATTCACAATCCATCTGCGTGGCAGGCGGTCAGCGCTCAACGGAAAGGCTCAAGCCCGGAAAGGGTAGCCTGTAACGTAACGTAAAACCGTTGACAATCCCCGTCTTACCACAATCGCGGATTTCCTAATTAAACAGCACATTTAGCCGGGAACAAGCGAGTCAGCAGCCGCCGGCCCCAGCGGATATTAATAATTTACGAACTTTGTTGAAATTAATTTGAACGCCATTTGCGAGCCGCGTCTTGGCGGTAAGTCCTGTCCTAACTCTGCAGATTTAAGCAACTCTCCCTTCTGCCCACCCATATCCTCCCCCTCGGCAGAATCCGTACCGAGGATATATCCGCATGGGTTTCCGGTTCCGTTCGAATGATGAACGCTCATATTTTCTTGCGCATTTTGGCGTAACCGCGAATACGAACATTCGCAGGGCGCACTGCGTGCTTGTAGCAGTAGTTGCTGTCGGCAGCAAAAAGTTCGTCGTCCCCCGTCATGAAATTTAATTTAGACTTTAAATCAGACTTTTTTGACACCTTTCCGATCATTCCGTAGCGACGCGACGATTCAACGATGAAAAATGACTTTCTTCAATCGCCCGATCTATATCTAGACTCTAGAGATACGCATCGATCCTCTTAAAGCGCGGATATTGTATAGAAATAAAATTATCGAAAATCTGTTGAAAACGTTCCACTTCCTCTCAAAATTTACGGAATCTTTCTATTTTTCAATTCGCATCCGTAGAATGTCAAGCGCACTCGCAGAAAATATATCAAGGTTCGTATATTCAATATAAACTTGAGTTATAGTTGCGAAAAAAATATCACCGATCAATCTTTCACGTCGCATTAGTTTCTTGCGAATATCGAATGTTTTTATAAATACAAGAAGCCACGGACACCTCTTTTAAAATAGCTCTCAACTATGTGTAAGTATAATATCACGCACACGTAAGATAATTGATTAATTACAAAGCTCTCCAGACAATAGCGTCTCATTGCATAAGCGTTACTAAGTGCTCTTTAATGTGTGCTTTTTTTCTCTTTTTTGCATCTTTTTTCGAGCGATGCGAATAGCTGCTACGAATAGATGAAGATAAAAAAGATGTAGCCTGTGGCCTAGAAAAAGGTTATCACCTACTTTACTGGCTAGCGAACAGCTCGTTTATCGTTTGCAGGCGCGTTAAGTGACCTTTGAATTCTCGCAAGTTCAGCATACTTTATTATTCGGCAAAGGTCAATAGTTCAGCGTTAATTTTACCTCTTATAATAAGCTGTCGAGGATACATGCATAATAATAATTTAATATTATCTCAATCTTTAATGCATGATTTTTTTTTTAATTTTTAAGAAAATAAACTCGAATCAAGAGAGATTTCGTAAAAATACAATTTCTATTTTGACGACAGAACGAAGAAAAATATTTTGTAAATGCTGCAAATAATAGAAAAATTCAACCCGCAAATCCATTTATTGTTGAAAATAAATCGTGAATGTTTCAACGGATTTCAATGTCCTTAAAAATATCTATAGGTAGTTGTATTGGACTCTTTGCATGCAAAACTTTTTTCAATTTCTCAAAGCTTTACCAAAATCCGATAATCAAAAAAAACCTTTGAATCTTGCGGGTGACAAAAGTCTATATAACTCGAGTCAAAGGTTACAATGAAT